TATTGTCCGCTTTGGGCTCTCAGCACACCCTCACGGTTTTGTTTCTGGGAACTCACACGAGAACTTCCCGATGGGTCACTCATCTTGGGAATGCTCTAGTCCCCTTCTCGCTTAACTTCGGAGTTCCAACGGAACCCAAAACCAGTGAGCTCCCAAAAAGCCTCGTGCTAGGTAGAGATGGGAATATACATTTAAGGATCACTTCCCTGGGCGATGTGGGATGTCACAATCCAGCCCAGGGCAGATCACTTCCCCCGCCCGCTCCACCACCGTAGCACGATATTGTCTGCTTTGGGCTCCCAGCACACCCTCACGGTTTTGTTTCTGGGAATTCACACGAGAACTTCCCGATGAGTCACCAATCCTGAGAATGCTCTAGCCCCCTTATCGCTTAACTTCTGAGTTCCAACGGAACCCGAAGCCAGTGAGCTCCCAAAAGGCCTCGTGCTAGGTAGAGATGGGAATATACATTTAAGGATCACTCCCCTGGGCGATGTGGGATGTCACAATCCACCCCCCTTAGGGGCCTGACGTCCTCGTCGGCACACCACGACCAGGGTTAGGCTCTGATACCAAATGTCACATCCCAGCCCGAGGCGGATCACTTCCCGGGCCCGACTCCACCACCGTAGCACAATATTGTCTGCTGCTCCCAGCACACCCTCACGGTTTTGTTTCTGGGAACTCACACGAGAACTTCCCGATGGGTCACCTATCCTGGGAATGCTCTAGCCCCCTTCTCGCTTAACTTCGGAGTTCCAAAGGAACCCGAAGCCAGTGAGCTCCCAAAAGGTCTCGTGCTAGGTAGAGATATGAATATACATTTAAGGATCACTCCCCTAGGCGATGTGGGATGTCACAATCCACTCCCCTTAGGGACCCGACGTCCTCGTCGGCGCACCATGACCAGGGTTAGGCTCTGATACCAAATGTCACATCCCAGCCCGAGGCGGATCACTTCACAGGCCCGACTTCACCACCGTAGCACGATATTGTCCGCTTTGGGCTCCCAGCACACCCTCATGGTTTTGTTTCTGGGAACTCACACGAGAACTTCCCTATGGGTCACCCATTTTGGGAATGCTCTAGCCCCCTTCTCGCTTAACTTCGGAGTTCCAACGGAACACAAAGCCAGTGAGCTCCCATAAGGCCTCGTGTTAGATAGAGATGAGAATATACATTTAAGGATCACTCCCCTAGGCGATGTGGGATGTCACAATCCACCCCTCTTAAGGGCCCGACGTCTTCGTCGGCACACCACGACCAGGGTTAGGCTCTGATACCAAATGTCACATCCCAGCCCAAGACGGATCGCTTCCCGAGCCCGACTCCACCACCGTAGCACGATATTGTCTGCTTTGGGCTCCTAGCACACCCTCACGGTTTTGTTTCTGGGAACTCACACGAGAACTTCCCGATGGGTCACCCATCTTGGGAATGCTCTAGCCCCCTTCTCGCTTAACTTCGGAGTTCTAACGGAACCCGAAGCCAGTGAGCTCCCAAAAGGCATCGTGCTAGGTAGAGATGGGATTATACATTTAAGGATCACTCCCCTGGGCGATATGGGATGTCACAATCCGGCCCAGGGCGGATCACTTCCTGGGCCCGCTCCACCACCGTAGCACGATATTGTCCGCTTTGGGCTCCCAACACACCCTCACGGTTTTGTTTCTGGGAATTCACACAAGAACTTCCCGATGGGTCATCCATCCTGGGAATGCTCTAGCCCCCTTCTCGCTTAACTTCGGAGTTCTAACAGAACCCGAAGCCAGTGAGCTCTCAAAATGCCTCGTGCTAGGTAGAGATGGGAATATACATTTAAGGATCACTCCCCTAGGCGATGTGGGATGTCACAATCCACCCCCCTTAGGGGCCCGACGTCCTCGTCGGCACACCAAGACTAGGGTTAGGCTTTGATACCAAATTGTCGCATCTCGGCCCAGGGCGGATCACTTCCCGGGCCCGCTCCACCACCGTAGCACGATATTGTTCGCTTTGGGCTCTCAGCACACCCTCACGGTTTTGTTTCTGGGAACTCACACGAGAACTTCCCGATGGGTCAACCATCCTGAGAATGCTCTAGCCCTCTTCTCGCTTAACTTCGGAGTTCCAACGGAACCCAAAGCCAGTAAGCTCCCAAAAGGCCTCGTGCTAGGTAGAGATGAGAATATACAGTTAAGGATCACTCCCCTGGGCGATGTGGGATGCCACATTGGAGATCCATCTTCATCCATATCTGCAGCTGAGGATGCAGTTCCGAACACTGGCGTAGGAGCTCTTTGTGGTGGATCTTCAAATAACACCCACCTTTTACAAATTTCCCAACAATTGTGAAACTGAAAGGGTTTCGAGTTGCTCTCCGTATACAATTCCTCCGCTTGGCGTACCTAGAAAAAAAATTAAAGGAAATTAATTTATGAAATTAAATGTAATATAATTAAATATTTAAAATAAATTGTAAAGACACTTACTTCATCGTAGTAATTAGCGCCGTTTTCATGCCTACTTGCGGCTGCTAACAATGCTTGATGCCATTTGTTCAAACTTGGCTAAAGATGTTTCTTCCATCTTGAAGAACAACTCTCGTGGTTTCGAATATTCACTGAAGTGGTGCCTTCATAGAACTCTAAGTATTTTTTGGACAAACGAGTCCAAACACCGTCATTTGTTTGACAATTCCCCCTCACACTATCTTCTGACACCCATCTATAAGCCTTGCAAAGAGCTTCATCTTCTTTCGGGTCCAAGCCCTACCTTTCATTGCAGACAAGGCCATTTCAAAATTATTAAAAAAATTGAAGGATAGATTTTTGATAGATGAAGGAAAATATGAGAATTGAAATGGTGTAGGAATGGTGAAAATTTTGTGAAGAATGGTTTAGGTATTTATAGGAAAAAAATAGATTTAAAAAAAAAAAAAAGGCCCAAAAAACCTAATAATAAAAAAAAATGAATCCAATGATAACTGGCGCCAGCTAGCCGTTGGATTCAAAATTATTTTTAAGCTTTCCTGTCGGTTTCCCTCCAGCCCTCTCCGATTCTGTGGGCCCTCTCAGATTCCGCAGCCTTCTGGCCTAGCCCTCGGTTGGAGACGATTTTCGGGCCTTTAGCCCTCTGGACCCTTCGGTTGGAGATGACCTTACCTTCAAAAGATAAATCATCTAAGCATAAAAAGAAAAATTCACATAATTCAAAATCTCCTTCCAAATGCATCATAAAAAACTAGAAGTTATAATGAGAATCCGGATATCCTAGGTTGCCAATTATTTGCTCTGATCACATGTTCGTAAATATGTTATGATGTGTGCACATGCACAATTTATAAAATAATCACTTAAAATATAAGAATATAAAACAACACATCTTTGAGGTGCGTAGTTCCTGTGATGCAAAGCGCATGCAGACAGACTAGTAAAAAATTATAACCTAGGCAATGAACTAACTGGAGTCTGGAATAATCATTAGAAGTAAATATTGTCCATGGATTAAACAATAGTTCAAAAGGTTTAACTACTTGGGAATTTCTAGATCTACGTTTATTTTCAACTCCCTGATTCATTTCGTCGTTTATTACGTCATCTCTCGCCTCTGGTTGCCTAGTATTTACTATAAGTATTTTCTCGTTTGAACCTTGCCGTTAAATAATTTATATTTCTTTGATGATTGGTCCTTGTTATTTATAGAATGAAAAATCACAACTGATTGTCTTGAGTTTTCAATGTGCAATTGTATACTTAAAAAATGTATCGACAATCAAAATATGTCAAGAAACCAACTGAAACTTTTTGCTTTGTCTAATAGATTAATGCCATTTTTTATAGATTGATGTCAATCTAACTTTTGTTTGTTTACTTGTAACCTTTGTATTTTTTTTTTTCAAAAAATGAACTAGTTAGTGGATTTGCTACACTAGTCCAATTTTTAAGAGTTAGTGACACATCCTAATCTAAATCAAGGTGTGCTGACCGTCACGTGAGAGTGACATAACTATGTGTACAGTGCGGAAAGCAATAATGATATAGAGAAATACGAGTGAATAAAAACCAAACTACTAAAAGTACTAGCTAAAATAAGGTGCTAGTGCGAGATTAAGTGGAAATACACAATTAGAGTATAAATAGCCTAAGTGCAATCCGATTGGACAAGTACTAATTATACAACACCCAAAGGTGATCCTACATTTGTGATGTTTTGTTAGTTGGTATCAGAGCCACTATACTGTGTGGTGCGATGTGTCGATGAGGGCGACGGGCCCCTAAGGGGGTGGATTGTGACATCCCACATCGCTCAGGGAAGTAGATATTCTAAACCTTATATGTATATTCTCATCTCTACCTAGCACGAGGTTTTTTAGGAGTTCACTAGCTTCAGGTTCCGTAGGAACTCCGAAGTTAAACGAGTAGCGCTCGAGAGCAATCCCATGATGGGTGACCCACTGAGAAATTCTTATGTGAGTTCCCAGAAACAAAACCATAAGGCGTGGTCAGGGCCCAAAGTGGACAATATCGTGCTACGGTGAAGTCGAGGCCCGGGATGTGGTGGGGGCTCAGGTCGGGATGTGACAATTAGAAAGACTTATGGAGACATTTCAGCCTCTCCTAGCCATCATTGTGTGGTTCACACAATGCCAGGAATTGATCTCAGAACTTGCCGTATAGAATATAGAAATTTGTCCCCAATTACTGAATCATCCCTAGGTGGTTTAACCTTTTGTTTTAGAAGTGTGGTTAGTGGACTCACCATTTTGCATTGGAGTATGATTTTCTCCCTTCCTATTTCCCTCCCCTTTCTCTCACATATTGTTTTTTGTCTTATTGTCTCTATAAATAAATCAATATAAGATGTTAACGCGACTAAATCGTAACTATTCAAATAGGAGGGGAGAAAGGGAAGAGAGATTAGAAAGGGAGAGAATCCTCCTCCATTTGCATTAGGGGATGTGTCATGCACCTAATTAGACAAATTACAATCATCTTTCTATAATTAGGCCAATCATTACTTAACGGCGGCGGCCCTACCCAAGTAATAAAATTTTCAGCTAACCAAAGCGGTTGTGAAGTGTACGCGCCACCGCACACCAAAACCCGCCAAATCCCGAAAGCTTGCGTGAAAAGTGGTGCTGAGTTACTGATCATATCTGGAAGCAACACCACCGACTTCTCTCATACATTTCACACGCGAATTTTCTAGGGTTTTGGTCAGGAGCCCCAAAATTTGGGGCAATTGAAGAACCTAGGGTTTGCTAATCAGTCCAAGAAGCAAAAACCCAGTTCGTTTCTGATTCGATTGAGCTAGGGTTTCTCGACCTTGGTTCAAAAATGGCGATAATCGGCGACGCGCTTCGCCAGGCGTTCATGCCAAAGCGCGAGTACGAGAGCCTCCGGGAGGAAGACAGGGCGTGGGAGAAGCTCCAGAGACCGCTGTTAATGGCTTCCGTGGCTTTGGTCTGCCTCGTCGTTGTTGTGTGCACGGTTATCAGCTTGAATATTGTGTTTCCGGCCGACCCGACTAAGAGACCGTTCTGCGGCGACCGGAGGCTTAATTCGTTGCCGATGAATGTGAGAGGCGGGGATTCCGATCTGTTTCCCGGAGCTTTTTATCTTACGGATCAGGAGATTGCGGATTACTATTGGATGGTTGTGTTCATTCCCTCCTTGATCATTTTCTTGGCTACTTTCGTGTACCTTGTCGCGGGTAAGGAAGCTGTTAAGCTCTACTTTAGTTGTTTCCAATTTGAAGTTGTTGCTTGAATGCTAATAAATCTAAGAGGGTGGTAGTTAAAATTTTGATTTTTGTGTATTTCATTGATTTGGGTTGTGGAAAGGTGGAAACTTGGTTAACTAAGAGTGCATTAAGATCGAAAATCTTGTAAAAAATGATTATGATTAGTGATTACAAGCCGAAAGACTTGGGGAATCTATAGGTTATATGTTGGATAGTTGTGCAGTCTTGCTATACTTGCTTAGAAAAATTATTAGAAGTACTATAAGGAAATGGCATTTCTAATCGGGGATTTGCTAGCTCGGATAAATCATGGTCTAAGTATGTCTAAATCGTAGGTTATAGTGTTGGCTTGGTGGAATAGATTTATGCTTATACTACCACAAGTTGATAGCTTTATAGAGGATGCAAGATGATTATGGTTCAAAGATGTAAGCATGGGTACATTTTAGTATTTTCTTGTATCAATAAACCCAATCAAAAGGAAAAGGCATCAAACCGAAAATGGGATTTATATGGTTCAGCAAAGGTTGATTCACACCTCGTGGCCAGCTTCATGTATAAGGCATAATCTGCTTATGAAACGTAGAAATGGGTATTAATTGGCTGTGCATATAGCATGGTATAGAATTTGTAGTTGAAAGTACATTTTTCATTGGATATTGTCTCATTATTCTACATGGATGATATCTAACATTTTTCAGTGCAATAGTTTGATTTCGATATGCTAAATGGTTCTCATAGTTTCAATCTGGTTGCAGGAATCATTGTTGCTTATTCTGCTCCAACACGACATGGATGCTTAAGGGTTGTTGAAAATAACTATTGTGCTTCAAAAAGAGGTATCCTCCCTTTCTTTCTCTCACTTTCTCTCTCTGTCAAACTCTGATTTTCCTTTTCTTTAATGATATTTAGTGGGTCAAACTCATTTACAATTTGTTTTTTCATCTTTCACACACGATAGTTTGCCTCAATTGTTCTTGTTAATGTTTCAAAGAATCAAATGAACTACTGTATCCACTATACGTCAGTCACAGGTATCTATTGTTTATCACATTTCAAAATCTTGCTTGGCTGTTTTGAGTTTTTACACCTGGTACTAGTTATATGGAGCTAATTACTCCTAAACAATGAAGTTTTCGATGTGAGTTTAGTGTGGCAGAATAATTTTTTTTTTTTTTTTCGTACTTTGTTTAGTTGCCAATGAGTCAGGGTAAAGAAAATACATGAGGATCTTACATCTATTTAGCAGGCCGGGCAATGCTTTCTTTTGTTGTTTAAAGGTAGATCTAAGTGATTGATTGCATTCCTTAAGATTTTACGCACTTCTTTTTGGGGTGGGCCTTGCCAGAGCAGGCATACAAAAATTGCGGCCTTGGAAGTTCATCTATTTTATCACATCATTTTTCTTTAGGGGTGTGCTATCCACACACCCCATTTTACTTCTCACACACCCCTTGATAATTTCTGTCCGTTGATCTTCTTCAATTCATCGGATCTGATGCTGAAAATTAAAAAGGTGTGTGAAAAGTAAAATAGGGTGTGTGGATATCACACCCCTTTCTTTAATAACACAAAATGCAGCATGTCCTTTTAACCTGTCTTTCGTATCCTGGTATCTTTGGTCAAAAGTTTAGTTGCGCGACAACCTCCAGTGGGGTTTGAACTCTCATTTGTAATCTGTAGGTGGGGTTCGATGTCTATCGATTCTGAATGCCGTCTTTGCTGTCATATTTGGTCTACTTGCATTGTTTCTTGGTTCAAGCCTCCTCACACAAGGAAGCTCCTGCTCTGTGCCCCTTTTCTGGTGCTATGAGGTTGGTTCTTGGGGAATGGTTATTTTATATGGAGGAACCGCCTTTTTTCTAAGAAGGAGAGCAGCGGCAATCCTTGATGAGGGAGATTTTGGTGGTCGAAACCTGGGGCTAGAAATGTTGGAGAATCCTGTAGAAGTTTCACCACAGGTGGAAAGGCCGGTTAACGAAGGGTTTAAAGCATGGATGGGGTCATCACTCCTATCGTCTGATGAAGAAGATGAACCTGGCAGTTATTAAGAACTTTCTTACATACCTCCGTCAACTCTAACATGCAAATGGTGTGGTATTTACGTGAAGCCTTTCAGAACTAAACAGCTTCCCGCAGATTTTTTGACAAATTCAGGAGTGGATAGAGTAGTTTGAAATTCAACGTTGGCTTGTTGAAGATGCCAGCTTTGAAACGGTTCTAGTGATGATGTAACACAGAGTGAAAGCTAATTTTCGGACATAGCTTCATGTTGATTTTGTAACCTTTGTTGCACATGCCCTCTTTGGTAGCCTGTGAATATCTAACCAGATTTCTCTCTCTCTCTCTCTCTCTCTCTCTATAACAACCAAGTTATCACTTTGATTCTCGACTTCTCTTATTCTAGGCAAACACGTTCCGAGTCTTTTTATCAAATTTTCTTTTCAACCTATGTTTTTGGATGTGATGACCTGGTGCACCGTGCATTCGTATCATGCGACAAGTGATGCAGCCAAAAAGTAAGGACTTGTAGCTTCAAGTGACGCGACGGAATTGGAATTTATTTCACATAATTTTTTTGTGCATAACGTCTCCTGATTATTAAAATTTTTAAAATTTTCTATGCAGGACGTGCATATAGATAGTCTGTTGTACGTTACATGTTTAGCCCAAGTAACGCGTAATCAAAGGCCCGAATAAAAAGGCCCAGCCAACTCATAGGCCCCAACAAACCCAATCCAAGCCCAATGAAATGCGTTCGTCAGTTAGTGTTGCCGTTGAACTGAAGAGCGTAAAACCCTAATCTCTCTCTCCTTCTCTCACCGAGCTGTGGCTGAGCGGCACATTCCCTTCTCGGCTCTCTCGACATTTGAATTCCCAACAGCAACCACCGCCAATCGACCATGGCCGCATACGACTACGACGACGCAGGCACCTACGACGAGACATCGGCGACGCAGCGCCAACCGTCGTCCGGAGCCCCGCCGTCTTCCGACCTCGGTTACGACCCCAACTTCGTCCCCGACTCCGTCAAATCCTTTGTCGTCCACCTCTACCGCTACATCCGCGAGAAGAATGTCTACGAGATCCACCAGATGTACGAGACCTCCTTCCAGACCCTCTCCGATCGCCTCTTCAAGGACACCCCCTGGCCATCCGTCGATGCCGTCGCCGACTACGTCGACAACGACCACGTATTCTGCCTCCTCTACCGCGAGATGTGGTTCCGCCACCTCTACGCCCGCCTGTCCCCGACGCTGAAGCAGCGAATCGACTCCTGGGACAATTACTGCAGCCTCTTCCAGGTCGTCCTCCACGGCGTCGTTAATATGCAGCTGCCGAACCAGTGGCTTTGGGACATGGTCGATGAGTTCGTCTACCAGTTCCAGAGCTTCTGTCAGTACAGGGCTAAGATGAAGAACAAGAACGAGCAGGAGATTGCTCTTCTCAGGCAATTTGATCAAGTAATCATCGCTTCCAAATTTCAATTTCAGAAATTTTGAAACCCTAAACCCTCATTTGTGTTCTCAACTTCTCAATGTTGATTTTGTTGCAGGCTTGGAATGTGTATGGTGTGCTCAATTTCTTGCAAGCTCTGGTTGAGAAGTCGATGATCATTCAGATTCTCGAGCAAGAGAAGGAAGGGCTCGAGCAGTTTACTGCCAATGATGGGTATGATTATAATGGTGGCAGTAATGTGTTGAAGGTGTTGGGGTATTTCAGCATGGTGGGTTTGCTTCGAGTTCATTGTCTTTTGGGCGATTATCATACTGGTCTGAAATGCTTGCAGCCCATCGACATTACCCAACAAGGTGTTTTCACCACTGTTATTGGAAGCCACATTACCACCATTTATCATTATGGTTTCGCCAATCTTATGTTGCGGAGGTACATTGTTCATTGTGTTTTGATCTTGTTTTCGCTTTAGATGTGTACGTGCATCAAACGTTGTTTAGGGAGCCTTAGGAGTATTGTTGGTTTTGTTGCAGGTACGTGGAGGCGATTCGTGAATTCAATAAGATTCTGTTGTACATCTACAAGACCAAGCAGTTCCATCAGAAATCTCCTCAGTATGAGCAGATACTAAAGAAGAATGAGCAGATGTATGCCCTGTTGGCAATTGCTCTTTCACTATGTCCCCAAGTGAAGCTTGTTGAGGAAACTGTGAACTCTCAGTTGCGCGAGAAGTATGGTGAGAAGATGAACAGAATGCAAAGATATGATGATGAAGCATTTGCTATTTATGATGAGCTCTTCTCCTATGCATGCCCTAAGTTCATTACCCCATCTCCTCCAAGTTTTGAGGAGCCCCTTGTTAATTACAACCAGGTATGAACCCCAACTAGGTAAACTGAAATAAGTGGTTTAAAAGAATTTCAATTCAGAAAGCAGTGGTATAACTTTCTGCAATGGTATAGCAGAAGCCAGCTTCCAGGACAAAAAATATATAGTTCCCACATAAATTTTACTAATTTAGTACCTTCCATATATGATACGATGAATATTCGAGGACATAGAGTTGTAATTATCTGTTGCTGAGAGTTTCATGCATTTTACACGATTTGATGATTGGCTTGATACATGCATAGTATCAGTTCATGAGATATTTGAAACAAACACTTCAGCAATAAGAAAATTTCATAGACTTTCTTTGCACCATACTATAGGAAAATTGAACACCGTCTCGAGTCACTCTGTGTGTTATAACTTATAATGTAAAAACAGTTGTGGAAGGAAAGCTAATGAAAATCTTACTTTTGTATTGGGAAAATGTCGTTGTGTTAAATTCTCTATTTGGGGAATTATATTATGTGAATGAATTTTCCGGCACGTGTGCTTGATTAATCAAATTCCATTTTAACCATTGCAGGATGCTTATAGACTTCAATTGAAACTGTTCCTTTATGAAGTGAAGCAGCAACAGTTATTATCAGGCGTCAGGACCTTCTTAAAAGTCTATTCATCCATCTCCGTTGGAAAGCTTGCAAGCTACATGGAAGTGGATGAAGCCAAGTTGAGGTACTTAATGAGGATAGTCTAGTAGTTATGTTGCCTAAAATTCTTCTTTTGGATTCTTTGCTAATGTTTTGTGATTCTGTCTTGTAGGACTATCTTGTTGACGTACAAGCACAAGACACATTCCGTTGATACTGAGGGAAAAGTTATTTCCAATGCTGATGTGGACTTCTATATTGACGATGTATGTTTTCTTCTATTACCTTCTATTTTTGTTAGTGGAAAACTGATCTAAGGCCAATTCAAAGGTCCAAGGGCATCTTTGTGATTTGACCTTTTGTAAGAAACTAGAACTCCTTCAGCACTTGGTTCATGGGACTTTCTTCGAGGTGATTATAAACCTGCCTCAAAAGATCTAAAACAATCTTAGCTCAAGCAAACATGTAATTTCTGTAATTAGTTTGACCTAACTATGTAATTTAGTGCCCCGAAAGGCAAAGCAAAAAGAGTGGGTGCTTGTCATTGGAAATGGGTTCAGTTGTTCTGAATCTTCTGATATGCCCTTCTCTTACACTTGGTGACCTGCCTTCAATGATGATTTATTTACTGGGAAATTGTTAGCCTTATCAAGTGTAAATTGGGCTAGAGTTAATCTAATAAGCTTAACATGCAAGAACTTTAAAGTTATATGGTTCAATCACTGTTTTGGAACATGGTAATTGATGACACATACGTTTTATTCATTTAATAGTTCTAATCTACCGCAGGACTTGATATCTGTCGTCGAATCAAAACCAGCAAAACGATACGGTGATTACTTCTTGCGGCAGGTCGTGAAGGTATGCAGAACTCATTGTTTTCCCATCTTATTTACCAACATTAGGGAAATGCTTAGTTAATCTCTTTTTTAAATATCTTGAACTTTTTTTGTCGCAGCTTGAAGGTGTGATCAATGATATGGACAGGGTAAAGCTTGATTGATTCAGCCATCACTTTTTCAGTTTACCTTCCTTTCCCGCAATTTTCGCTTGCTTAGATTTTTCGACAATGATGTCTTGAGATGTTTTTTCTTCATCTTTCGAATTACCTATATGTCTCATGTTCTGCTACTTTGAATTGGCGGACGTGGTTTTTAACTCTTCAAATTATAATTTTCACCTGTTGTGCCTATCTACTCAAAATTGCTAGCATTGAATTTTTGCAAGTATTTTTTTCCTTGAATGAGACATTAACAGTGTAAGTATAGAGAGTCGGGGTCGCTTTGAATATGCCATGGATTATTTACCTGTGTTACTTATTTTATGAAACTCGTCAAAAGAACCAAGTCTTACTCTATTTTCGCCCTCATCGCGTGTTGCTTTTCGCTTATGTTCCTTTGTTGTATAACACCTTGTGTAGTCGTGTCATTCTTCCATGTATGAACTTGGATTCACTTCACAGTGTTTGCAATGGTCGGTTTTTTTATTTTTATTTTTAACAAACGATATTATTCACACTAAGTAGATGATGAGTGGGTTCAGCCTCCGCAACGGTCAATTTTGGAGTCGTACTCATCTTTGAAGGTTTAGGCATGAATTATACATCGGTTTGAGGTTGGAGAGATAAACCCAATCTTCGTGCACTAAATGCGATTAGGCCCCCACATGTGGTCACTCACGCTAATTGACTTGGGGGAACGCGACAATTTACGACAGCACCAATTACGTTGATTTCCCTGTCGTTTTTTTCATTCTTCTATGTCAATTCTCCATGTCTTTTTCTTGGTACCATTTTTCATTCGGCAAGTATAAAACTTTTTGCCCCACTTATTTGTTGTTTGTCCTTCTAATTGATTTGATATTGTATCTTCAGCAACGGATTTATAACTCATTTAGTTTTTTTTTCTTTTTCTTTTTTGTTTGTTTGTTTTTGTGAAATGATAGATTTGTTAGATTAGGGAGCTAACGAAGTTTGAATACCGTGTTGTGGTGTAAGGGCAACACTCATCTCTACCATTGTGATAGAGAGCTACTATTAACATTTGCACCTGCATTTTTCTGTGTGACTCCACTCTTATCCTATATCATTTGTTTCGAAAAGAGAATAATGTATAGAGCAATAATCTTCTACTTCATAAAATGCATGATTGTATTTTTAGAGTGTCAATAATAGCTCAAAAAAAAAAAAAATTCGTTTCGTACTGAACATCTATTGTTTCACTAAGCAAATAGAATTTGAAAAAGAGTCAAATTTGGTGTTGTTGTATGTGCAATTGCAAGGTGTGGTTTTCAAAATTTGTAGTCGTTGAGAGAGAATTTATGGATCAATAAAAAAATATAAAACAATTTAGTCAGCTTTTGAAAATCATCTAGTTTAAAATGGATAAAGAGAACTGAAGGTTTTTTAAAGATATTTTTTATCGATTTTTTGTCACTTCATGTTTTTGGTATAATATTGACACGATGATTGACATTAAATTAAGAAAGAATAAAAAATCCATAAAAAATCTCATTTTTAAGAAAGTGTTCTTAACATTTCGCATGAATAAAATTAATATTGACTATTTTTTTGAACCGAAGTACCAAAGTGGCCAAAATAGAAGAATTAACCGGTCAAGATTTAGTCAAATTTTATATTGTGTACTTAATTTACTTTTAATTAAACAATTATAAGTCCTTAGGACAGATTTGGTGGACATTTTATGGACACGAAGGCTGCGTCTTGAGTGTTTCCTCGTACTTGGTTGAATGTTAGGTGTGCGGTTTCAACTTGGACATAGATGAGTGTGCTGTTCATCTAACATTCAACTTGGATATGTTTTTATCCTAAAAATTTACTTAATTAACAACTGGTATTGATAGAAGTGTGTGATAACTATTTTGAATAACTAATAATAATTTTTTTTTACTTGCGGGTCAATCATTTCATCGAAGACTTACATACAAGAGGGACTCTAGTGCGGCGGTATTTCAATCAATTAGACACTGTCATGTTTTATTGAGATAAACTCAAACACATTGTGAGTCGGATTCTGTTTTTATTGTTGGAGAATAGAGCCTTACATAGAAATACAACAAAATAATTGGGAATTCCACACCTAATATCATCAATGCCTTTTGTGATACCAGTGATGTAGGTGGTGGATCATGTTGATCTTAAAATGTTTGACACCTACGATGAAATCACAAATCAATCACGCACTGTCACATTAAAATGTTAACTAAATTGAGGACCACCACAATTTGTAAGTTTCTCTCCATTTTATGACATGTGAGTTGGGAATGTTGCCCAACCCCCTAACAAGATAACCAATTCCCACATGCACAACCTCCAGGCAGTCACCAAACCCCATCCCAGCAACTCTCCTTCAAGGGCTTCAACCCCCATGGCTTTTGCTCAAGAAGAATGAAAGTTTGAATATTATATAATTGTTGTTTGTCCTGAGATATATATGTAATTGCTAAGTAGCTAGAAATAAATGTGGGTCTGGTAAATAGTACCGCTGACTGAGAGAAAAATGGTAGGCAGTGCAAGGCTTTGCTTGCACAACTCCATGAGAGCTTTGAATTTATTTGTCAACGTTTGTGGAGTTGGAGTCATCATCTACTCCCTTTGGCTCATCAAGAAATGGCAAGTTGGAGTCTCTGAGCTCCCTCCCGTCTCGCATGTCCCAAAGCCATGGTAAAAAAGTTCATATTTCTGCTCTTTATCTTTCTATGGTACTGCGTTTATCCTCGCATCCAAGGTTCTCTGTTCAAATCTCTCGTTCTTGAATATCGCTTGTATCGAAGAAAACAAAAAGCGTTTTTGTTATATCGTGTGATAGACTGATAGGCAGAGGCAATCTGCAGTTTTTTCTTTAATTTTGTTATATTTTTCTTTTGTTAGAAAATCATCGGTTGCAATTTTGTTTGACAGGTTTATCTATACATGTTTAGGTATAGGAATTGCTGTCTGCCTGAGCACGCTTTGCGGTCATATGGTTGCCAATTCCATCAGCAGTTTTACTCTCTTCATTGTATCCTTTCTGGTGATTACAACTTTTCTATTAATTTTCGGCTTCAAATCTTTGTTATAATGTCCAAAAAAAGCTTGGACGGTGATTTTCGCACTCATTTTAACCTCCTGCGCTCCTCCCTTCGAGTGCAAAATGAGTGTCAGAATCGCAATCCAAAAGTTTCCGTCCTTTTTTTCTTGAACTTTTTACCAGGTTTAGCAATACCAATAATTTTTTAGGAGCCTATGCTCTTTGCAATTTGAATCTAGTTTATGAATGTTTACACAAATTTCATCGATCTGGTTTGTCCTTAACCAGTTCTAATTAGTACATAATCTCCATCTTCTGTCTTCTTTGCCTCGAAGTTGGAGTGATTATCAACATTTTCTATAGGATGGACTGGGAAGTGGTATGCCTTCCTGCACTTGTGCTTTTTATGTGCTGCATTCAGTCATTAACTTAAAATCACTTTTTAAAGAAGTTGCTTTTTTGACAGCAATTTGCAAAGTACATTGATGAGGATCACACCGTGTTCAAAAACTTCTTGACGTTTCATCTAAACATCTGCCGCCTCATTGCAATTATCATCTTGATACCACAGGTAAAAAAGAAAATAAAAAAAACCCTCTCTTTTTACTCAACTTCGAAAATTGTCTGAATCGTTAGATCAATATAACTCTATTGACCTAACGGTTCAAACAATGTCGGTAAGACAAAATTTCCAATGACTCTTAGCTAACGCAAGTTCATTTTGCAGATCAAAGCTATTGTGCTAGCGATCATTCTTTGGGCCATTGGTTCCGAGCCGAGGGCGGATCAATGCAACTATTCTGATGTCACAAACTTCAGATATTCGTTTCTGGCAGCGCCTACACAATCTTTACTAGATATATGGCGACATGGATTCCGAAACTATGAAGTTTCGTCAAGAGAATTCGAAAACCCGCCACGCCCGAGTTTTGTTTCAAATGTACAGAGATTTTTCAGAATGCATTTTCACAGAAGAGTCACTCTTAGTTAGGGAAGAAGTATATAAGTTTTGGGTTTAGGGTTCCCCTGCATTTTTTGTATGTTGGTGAAAGGGGAAGTTTGGGAGAGGTTGAAAAGTAGCATAGGAGATAGAATGAAATGGATTAATTTTACAGAAACTAGTAATTCTCTCCAAAATTAATTACTTGAAAAGCATTTGTTTACATTGTTCATGTTAAAACCAATCAAACGTTAAGCATATATTATACAACAATTTGCACAGTTTTATTACAAATGGTAAAACTCAACAACAAACACAATATATATTAAACATAAACACTTAGTGTAATTATATATAGAAACTCAAATCACTGACTTGTTCTTTGACGATAGAGGCTTGCAGAGCAATCTCCTAAGACAGAAACTCGTCCCTACACTTGTGCAGCAGTTCGTTGGACGTCTATCTTGCAGGATACAACTATCTAATCCAAGTTCTTGCACTCGAACTTGGATTCTTTGCGAATTGGTTGTGTGGTTCTCAGCGAAATATGAAGGAATGAATCTGGAAAACTTAATTCTGGTTTCTGAGTTTTATTGCCATATATATAATGGCATCAGTTGAACTTCTCCAACCGTTCATTCTTATCAAGTTTTTGTAAAAAGAAAACTGAATGCAACCTTTCACAAAAACTGATCATAACTGTCAAAAACCGAATCCAAAAAAATCAAAAACGTAACTTGTGTTTTTCGTCCATCCGAGCCCAAGAGCCCCAAGGCCCAAGGCCCATCTTTGACATTTAATATATACACCCAAACTCTCCAATTCTAAGGCCCAAGGTCCATGGCTTTGGCCCAATTCTTTTCAAACTATAAGTGAGTGAACTCACTTATAAAGACTTAATGAGAAACATGTTTGGGCGATGTGGGACTCCAAGTCCCACAGAAAACACAGTTCCAACAATACCCCACATTTTCTATTCAAACTTTAGCAATACCCCACATTTGAATTGAAAATAAGATACTAGTGACATTAGTAATGTACTTCCAGAGAACTTAGATATGATACGCATCGGGATAGGTGTCTTTTGGACTTGAACCTTCTCTAGTGAGTACTTACCGGTTTTACCTAATGAAGCAGTGAATTTTCTATCTTGAACTGATCATTCTTTGTAGTAAAATCGAAACAATAAGTATCACACATATCACATCTTGACACACGTCAATTCATACGGTTGTGTTCATTTTGGTCCTGAACATATCCTGGTTTCATGAGACCTTTAGAGAATTGTAGCCATACCAATTCTCAAAGATGCGACCCCACATCAATCTCATATAGGTAATGCTAATGAAGAATATCCTGTTCTATTCATCTTAATCATAAGATATTAGCATTATTAAGAATAGTTATTCACCCTTTTCGTCTAACAGGCAACACACTGTTTTCCATCATAAGAATGAGTAAAGATTGTGTTGTTTACTTTGAGTTTTCCTCAACTAGTTTGCCTATTGAACCTAGACCATGGGATCTCCAATTAGCTAGGTTAGGTTTCCGTCAAGTTATAACTCATTGAGTTGGCTTTAAACCCATTCCCCTCGATGTAAATGCCACTTGATCCTTGGATAGGCCTTTTGTCAAAGGATCGGCAATATTCTCCTTAGATTTAATATAATCAATGGAAATAGTTCCATTCTTGAGTAATTGTCTAATGGTTTTATGTCGTCGCCTTATATGTCTCGACTTCCCATTATATTCAGCGTTTTTGGCTCGACCTTGTGCAGCCATGCTGTCACAATGTATACATATTGCAGTCACAGGCTTGGGCCAGAATGGAATATCTTCCAGAAAATGTTTAAGCCATTCAGCTTCATCAGCAGCTGTATCTAAAGCTATAAACTCTGATTCCATTGTCGAACGTGCTATACATGTTTGCTTGGATGATTTCCATGACACAGCTGCTCCACCAAGTGTAAATACATATCCACTTGTGGATTTACTGTCTGTGCTCCCTGAAATCCAATTTGCATCACTATATCCTTCTAATACTGGGGGATATTGAGTGTAATGCAAACCATAGTTTAGTGTATGCTTTAAATATCTTAATACCCTTATTAAAGCATTCCAATGATCTCTTCCAGGATTACTTGAATACCTACTTAGTCGGCTTATTGAATAAGCAAGATCAGGTCTTGTACAATTCATAATGTACATCAAGCAACCTATAACTTGGGTATACTCCAATTGAGATACGCTATCTTCTTCGTTTTTAGTAAGTTTATGAATGGGATCAAAAGGAGTTACTGCAGGTTTACAATCATAATGTCCAAACCTTCTTAGAACCTTTTCCACATAATGTGATTGAGTTAGGACATATCCATCTGGATTCCTTAGAATTCGAACTCCAAGAATCACATCAGCTAATCCCATATCTTTCATGTCAAAACTGGAATTTAGCATTTTCTTTGTGGAGTTAATCACATCTTTGTTTGTTCCCATTATAAGCATGTCATCAACATATAGACATACAATAACACAAGCATTTTTCGTTTTCTTAACATAAATGCATTTATCACTTTCATTGATTACAAATCCATTCGTAATCATATTATGATCAAATTTTTCATGCCATTGCTTAGGCGCTTGTTTGAGTCCATATAATGATTTAATCAACTTACAAACTTTCTTTTCTTGACCCTTGACAATGAAACCTTCAGGTTGATCCATATATATTTCTTCGTCTAATTCACCATTTAGAAATGCAGTCTTGACATCCATTTGATGTATCTCAAGATTGTACACAGACGCTATAGCTATTAATAACCTTATAGATGTTATTCTAGCTACTGGTGAATAAGTGTCAAAATAGTCAAGTCCTTCTTTTTGACGATACCCTTTGGCAACTAAACGAGCCTTATACTTGTCTATGGTACCATCCGGTCTCAATTTCCTCTTGAAAATCCATTTGTGTCCTATTGGTTTATTTCCAGGAGGCAAATTAACCAATTCCCATGTATTATTTTGCATGATGGATTCTATTTCACTTTGAATAGCTTCTTTCCAATAAGGTGCTTCAGACGATTCTAATGCAGCCTTATAAGTTTGAGGCTCTTCTTCAGTCACAAAAGTGAGGAAATCAGGACCAAAATCCTTTGCAATTTTTGCTCTTTTACTCTTTCGTGGTTCCAAATCTTGGATTTGAACTCTCGAAGTTGAGGCATGATTATCGTCATCATTTCTTGTAGTAACCTCATGTACTCTTTTGTTCAAAACATATGACCTATCTTTGTAAGGAAAAATTTCCTCAAAGAACTCAACTTCTGCAGATTCAAGTATAGTGTTTATATGAATGTCTGCAATTTCAGATTTATGAACCAAAAATCTATATGCCGAACTATTATAGGCATGACCAATAAAGATACAATCCACTGTTTTTGGTCCAAGTTTTTGTCTCTTCGGAAGAGGCACTTGAACTTTTGCAAGACAACCCCACACTTTCAAGGTTTTATATGTAGGTAACCTACCTTTCCAGATTTCATAAGGAGATTGATTAGTCTTCTTATGTGGAATTCGGTTCAAAATCGTATTTGCAGCAAGGAGTGCCTCACCCCATAAATTATGTGGTGCACCAGAACTGTTCAACATGGAATTAATCATATCCTTCAATGTACGATTTTTCCGTTCAGCCACTCCATTTTGTTGAGGAGTATATGGTGCTGTTGTTTGATGTATTATTCCATGTGTTGAACAAAATTCTGCAAAGTCTTTAGATTCGTATTCACCACCTCTATCCGATCTTAAGACCTTTATTCTTTTGTCTAGTTGATTTTCGACTTCGGCTTTAAATGTCTTAAACATGTTTAAAGCTTCATCTTTACTATGAATCAAATAGACATAACAATACTTGCTGCAATCATCAATGAAGGAAATATAATAGTTCTTTCCTCCACGAGTTGGTGTGGATTTGAAATCACAAAGATCACTATGGATTAAACCAAGAATTTCGTTGGATTTTTCCACTGATTTATATGAGTGTCTTGCATATTTAGATTCTGTGCATATCTCACATTTAGATACTTTGTTCATGGAACATTTTGGCAATAGGCCTAAGTTAACCATTCTTTGAAGAGAACGAAAATTAACATGACCTAATCTTGCATGCCATAATGTAGAGGACTCAATCAAGTAAGCAGAAGAAGCACTTGGCTTGTTATTGTTATTCATAGCATTAACAGAAAGTACATTCATTTTGAAGAGCCCCTCAGCCAGGTAGCCCTTTCCCACATACATCCCACCTTTGGTGATTACAAACTTATCAGATTCAAACACAATTTTGAAACCTTTGTTACTCAGAAGTGATCCAGAAATCAGGTTCTTACGAATATCTGGAACATGCAGAACATTGGTAAGTGAAAGCTCTTTTCCGGAAGTGAGTTTGAGCGTCACTTTTCCCTTCCCTGCAACGGCAGACGCAGTTGCATTTCCCATGTACAGATTTTCTCCACCATCAACAGATTGGTAAGTAACAAATAAATTTCGATCAGCACACACATGCCTTGTTGCTCCTGTATCAACAAACCAGTCATTTGAATTAGTCAATAAATTGACTTCAGAGACAACAGCAACAAATGTGTCTTCTGCAACATTTGCTTGATTGGAACTTCCAGAATTCTGATCCTTCTTATGGCGGCAGTCCTTTGCCCTATGACCTGTCTTTCCACAAACCCAGCAACCTCCTTTGATTTTCTTGAAGGTTTTCCCTTTCACAGCAGTCATTGCTTTCTTTGCAGCATCCTTGCCTTTGTTTTTCTGATGGTGCCTTGCCTTGTGTGAGTCACCTCCTTCCACAACATTGGCCTTTGCCTCCAGCGATGAGACATCATACTTCTCATTTTTTCGATGATCCTCCTCCACACGCAGTTTGAGAATCAACTGATCCATGTTCATGTCTTCAGTTAGATGCTTCAGATAAATCTTGAAGTCCTTCCAATTCGAAGGCAGTTTCTCTATGATAGAGCCAACCACAAAGCCTTCTTTCAGACCAAGATTTTCTTCATCTAACTCATGGACAATCACTTGGAGTTCTTCAACTTGCTTGACAACAGACTTGTTGTCACTCATCTTGTAATTCAGAAATTTTCCAATTACAAACTTCTTGGAACTTGCCACTTCAGACTTGTACTTCTTATCCAGAGACTCCCACAGATCTTTCGCTGTCTTATATGATGA